TCTCACCTGGTTTCAATTGTGGGGCAGGTTCTGCTTGGTCATGGTCAAAAATCTTTTCTATAAAGCTAACAAAATGTTCTCTTATTTTGTAGCACTAAACCCCTGAAGAGTAAATTGACACAAGAAAGTAAACTCATACACAGATTAACTGCTTCTACGCCGCCCTATAACAGAAATACTGCTACAGGGCGACAGGGGTACACAAAATCACGTGTGTGTGTATATATACATGATTTTGCATAATTTTGACATAAATTTAGGCCAAAATGCATTCTGCTAAATGTCTTTGCTAAAGAAAAACCCGACACATGTAAATTAATTGTTTTTTATGTGAAATTTATAGTGTTTACAAATGGCGGTACATATAATGGAATTTTTTAAAACATTTTTTACTAGTAATGGTGGCAATCAGTGACTTATAGCAGGACTGCGGTAGGCATTCTTACATTGGGGGGAACTGAAACTGACTTGGTGTCACTGACTTCTCCATTGACACCAATACAGTGATCAGTGCTAATAAAAAGTACTGACACTACTACTGACACTGGGCAGGAAGGTGTTAACGTGGGGTGATCAAAGGGTTAACTGTGTGCTGTTTTACTATGGGGGCTGTGAGAGTGCTTTCACTGTAAGCACACTGCTGTGCAGAGCCATACAAAGCAGTGTGCAGGGGCTGACAGGGGAGAGATCTGTATTGTTTACATATAGGTCTCTCCCCCATCGGAAATCCTCAGAGAATGCTGGGAGCCAGACGGGGAATCATCTGCCCAGGACCCAGTGATTGACAGCCAAGGCCACGAATGGCGCAAAATCACCTACGCGGAACTGCAAAATCACGTGTGTGTATATATACGTGATTTTGCCATCCGTGCTGCCCTGTAGCAGTAGTTCTGCTATAGGGTGGTGTGGAGGCGCTCAATTAACTTCTGCAGAAATTCCTTCCACCAAGGATTAGGAGATTTTGCTTGATCAAGAGGTAAGGTCATTGGTTTGAACACCTCCTTGGGGATGATGTCAGCAGGGGGCTTACAGTATATTGTAGCACATCCAATAATCTGTAAATTATAGCTTCTAAAATTCTTTGGCTAGTATAGAAGGTTCCTTCGGAACTCTCAGCAAAATCATCATAAGTCAGTCTCTTGGGTGCTTTTTATCTCCATTCTTTCCTTGGGTGCCTTCTGTCTGGTGACACTATCTCCTTTCTCCACTTTAAGAGCTCAAAAGCTTTTCTATCACAGACTTTGCTTAAGAACCCTTTGGGGAGTCAATCACAGGCTCAGGATTGAGGAAATCTTCAAGAGTGGGTTCTAGGGTGGAAGAGTAGGCTCAACAACTACTGCTGAGCTAGTCTCTGTAAAGGAAGAAGCCTCTGGAGGGGAGATTGTTGAAGGGGCGGGCAGGCCTGAAGCAGGAGTGGGTGCCAAGATAGTGTCTTTTTTGGCAGTTAGGAGTGGTCACCAATCTATCCCTATTTCCACCCCCTCTTCCTCATCGGTCCCCTCCTCTTCTTTTGGAGATGCAGTGGGCTGAGGAGGGGACAGGGGAGGCCTGTGTGTCCGAGTCCTCACAGTAGGAGGATTGCTTGCTGGTGTTGGAATGTGCACAGCATCAGACAAGGGCAAAAGATGAGTCCAGTGCCAAGATCTCATTGGACCTTTTCTTCTCTTCTGGGCAGATATGACAGACAGCCAAGTCCAGCAACTTCTGGCAGATGATGTATGGCGCAGATTTCCAGCTAGCTGCTATTTTATGTTCCCTGGAACCCCAAGGTTCCTTAGCAGCACTCTGTCTACTGGCTGCAGATCCTATAGTTTCACCTTGGAATCATGACGCCACTTGTTCCTTTCTCCTGCAAATTTGGAAGCCTGCTTAGCCTTCTCAAGAGCAGTCTCTAATTGATGTTTCAGTCTTTCTACATACCCCTTGGTTGGATTAAGGGGTAAGATAATCAAGAGCTGTGCCAAAGGTCCATGGGTGGCTTGGCCTCTCGTCCAAACTTAGATGTTATGGGGGGGAAAAGTGGCTTCATTTTTGGTGCTATTATAGGAATGCACCACTACAGTAATATGTTGGCTCCACTGTTGCTTCTTTTCTAATGGCAGGGTGCCAAGCATGTTAAAGAGTGTTCAATTGAACCGCTTTGGTTGAGGATCACCTTGAGGGTGAAAGGGAGTAGTTTGGGACTTCTTTATTCCTAACAAAGCTAGCAGTTCTTTGATCAGTTTACTTTGTCTCTGCCCTGATTCTCAGTGAATGGGAGTCCGTAGTGCATAAATAATTTTTCCACTAAAACTCTGGCTACCGTGGATGCCTGCTGATTCTTTGTGGGAAATGCCTGAGCATATCTAGTGAAATGTTCTGTCACTACCAAGACATTCCCACATCTGCTAGAATCTGGTTTTAGACACAAGAAATCAATACTGGGGTATGATGGCACCACCTGTATGGTATTTAGGAGTAGAGTCCTTATAATCGGTGTGATCAGGACAAGATCTCTAACAAGCGCTAGTGCCTCCACTCAATTGGGGCTTGTGGATAACAAGTGAAATCCCAACTGAGAAATGTATCATCCACGTAGACAGTAATCCACACAGCATTGTATATTAAAGTCCATTGTATATTAAAGTCCATGTATTGAAGAAATCACATTCAGTGAACCATCCAACATAAAGTATTTTCCAAACAGGAACATTAAAGCATGAACAGTCTTTTTTTGCATGTCTAAGTGAGGGGAGGCTGCAAACATTTACAGTCTGAGCTCTCTCTCTCCCAGGAAATCCACACCCCTCTCTTTCCCACAAGTGCTCTCTCTGATTACCTCATCCTCAGTGCCCAGAGAGCATAACAGCCATATTGGAAAAGGGCAAAACAAACACTGTATAACAGAAGTATACACTGGAAATCTGGCAAAGAAATGATCGCATCACTACATTTGTATACAATTTAGGCAAGTGCGGAAGTACTCCTCCACTTCTGTCCTCATCTGCAGTCAGTAGAATCAATCTCTCACCAGAAAGTAGGTCCTCTCCTGGCCTAAGTGTCAGGAATGGACTGGCCAGCAATGGTGGGACTCACCTGCCTTTTGATCTGCAGTACCAGGGCTGGCCAGCGGGTGCTCCCAGCAATCAGAGACTCAACCTTTCAGCCAGCTAACACCTGGAACTGATGATACTGGTGTATTTAAGGGATGGCCAGACTTGCAGACTCTGCCTTGGTGTTGTGTTTGTCCTGGGCCCTGTATCTGTCCTGCATCCTGTTTCTGTTCCTTTGCTGACCCTGCCTGATCTGAACCGCTGCTGACTTCTCCTGCTCTGATCCCGGCTCACTCCTGACCATCCCTCTGCCTGACCCTCTGTACCACGCTGCTTGCTACCTGTTCTGATCCCTGGCTTGTGACCCTGACCATCCCTCTGCCTGACCCTCTGTACTACGCTGCTAGCTACCTGCTGAACCTGGCCTGTGACCCGACCCATCTCCGCTTGCTCCCCCTGTACCTACCTGCCCTATTGATATTGACCCGGCCTGCCTGACGACGCTTGCTTGTATGTACTGTTATCTGTGGGTGGTTGGTTTGGTTCGTTTGCACTGTATTATGTTTTAGTATTGCACTGCGTTTATGTTTGTATTGTTAGTGTTAATAAATTATATTGTTTATCACATATCTGAAGTCTGCGTTTCCCCTGCGTCAGTCACACACCTCTGGTCACACCTGGGAGCCCTGACATTACACCAAGGCCAATCCTGACCAGAAGTGGCTGCACAGGGAAGCCATCTTGGTTTGTTGATGGGAAGGATGTATCTGGATGAGGTTGCGTATTTATATCTGCTAGTGTTTGATGACAGGGAGTATGCTTATCACACTCTGAAGGAGTATCCCCGGGATGAACTGCTAGAATGTATACGGCTCGCTCATGTTCTAGTAGATCAGGGCACAGAGTTCTCTGAGGTGCAGCCTTTGATTGAGGTTTGTGCTGAGTTGGTTTCATCTGGTACCCCCGAATGCAGGGATGAATTTTTGCCACCATTTAGTGCAGACCAGGTAGAGTCCCTGGTATGGTTATTAGAGGATGATGTGGGTTACTTTCTGGAGCGTTATTCCACATGTTCACCACAGGTACTAAGAGATTGTATAAACGCAGTGCAGTCATTGACCAGACAGGCTTTGTGTAAGCTCAGCTTTGTTCAACCCCTACTGCAGACATGGACAGATTTGTTGCACCCAGCCTCAGTCAGCTTACAAAAACCCAGTCCTGCTTCTAATCTATTTCCTCAAAACTCTATTCCTGCATTCCCAACAGCTCCTCCTGCCCTGCTATCTACCGCATGTCAGTACCTGTTCCCACTCGCTGCACCTATCCTGCCTTTAACCCTGTAAAAAAGCCCTCTGTAGCAACTGCTCCCTCTCCTGTTCCATCCTCCAGTTCTTCTCTGTCTCCAGCTGCTCCATTCGTTTGCAGACCTGCGTTTACTTGCAGTGCTCCAGTAGTTAAAACCAGAAAAAAAGCGAAAATTCTTTCCAACCAATACCATCCTGCCAGTATCCAAACCGGTGAACCTGCCTTCCGTGGTTCAGCCTGAAGCTTCTACTCAGCCTGAATCCTCTACTCGGCCTGATGCCTGTACTCGGGCTGATGCCTCTACTCGGCCTGATGCCTATACTCGGCCTGATGCCTGTACTCGGCCTGATGCCTGTACTCGGCCTGATGCCTGTACTCGGCCTGATGCCTGTACTCGGCCTGATGCCTGTACTCGGACCCTGATGCCTTCTACTCTGAATCGGCCTCTCTACTCGGCCTGATGCCTCTACTCGGCCTGATGCCTCTACTCGGCCTGAAGCCTCTACTCGGCCTGAAGCCTCTACTCAGGCCGGACGGCCGGCATTCTCGGCCTGATGCCTCTACCCAGCATGATGTAACTGATCCAGGCCTGACGATCCTATTAGGCCAGTTTGACTCGATGCCCCCCCCCCCCCCCCCCCCCCCCCCCCCCCCCCCCCCCCCCCCTCTGTTTGATCCCAGATGATCCGCTGTGCCTTCCCGCCTATCATGCCTCGGTACTGAGCCTCGGAGCCCACTGCCTTGCAGATTGACGCGGTGCTACTGCTGTCGAGCCAAGTGACCTGATGCCTGGTGACCCCAGTGCCCGCTGTCATACCTGGTGACCCGATGCCCGCTGTCGGAAGCCAGACAAAGACCGGGTACCTGAGCTCTACTCGGCTGATCCACGCCGGTGATTGCCCACTGTCGTGGTGCCTGTTGACTCTGGAGCCCACTGCCTTGAAGCCTTGATGACGCGGTGCCCGCATGCTGTGTCGAGTCCAAATGACCTGATGCCTGGTGACCCCGATGCCAGTTGCTGTCCGGCCTGGACGATTCAATGTCTGCCCCAGTGCCCGCGGTCATGCCAGTTGACTCGGAGCCCACTGCCTTGCCAGATGATGCGGTGCTTGCTGTCGAGCCAAATGACTTGATGCCTGGTGACCCGATGCCCGCTGTCCAGTCAGTGACGATCCAATGTCTGAGCCCAGTGCCCTGATGACCCGGTGCCCACTTACCAGTTGACTCGGAGCCCACTGTCGTTGCCTGGTGACGCGGTGCCCGCGTCGCTGACCGCCTGGGGGGCCCGATGACCTGTCGCTCCGCCTGGGGGTCCAGGTGCCCCGCCGCTCCGTGTCTGCCGGGGGTCCCCGGCGCCCGCCGCACTCCCTTGCCTGGGGGCCTGAGACCTGACTTGATGCTCCGCCTGAGGGTCCCGAGATCCTGTCGCTCCGCCTGGGGGTCCAGTTGCGCCACTGTCGTGCCTGGTGACTTCGGGTCCGCCTGCCTGGGGGCCCGAGACCTGTCGCTCCGCCTGGGGGTCCGCCGCTCCGCGTCCGGCGCCCGCCGCGCCTGGGGCCTGAGGGCCCTCCGCCTGAGACCTGTCTCTCCGCCTGGGGGTCCGGCGCCCGCCGCTCCGCCTGAGGGCCCGAGACCTGTCGCTCCACCTGGGGGTCCGGCGCCCGCCGCTCCGCCTGAGGGCCGAGACCTGTCGCTCCACCTGGGGGTCCGGCTGAGGCCCGTCGCTCTACCGCTCCGCCTGAGGGCCCGAGACCTGTCGCTCCACCTGGGGGGGGGTCCGGCGCCCTCCGCTCCGCCTGGGGGCCCCAAGACCTGTCGCTCCACCTGGGGGTCCACCCGGAGCCGCCGCTCCGCCTGAGGGCCCAATGACCTGTCGCTCTATCTGGGGGGTCCGGCGCCCGCCGCATCCGCCTGGGGGCCCTGATTGCCTGTCGCCCCGCCTGGGGACCGCCGATGGTCTGGTCGCCCCCGCCCGCCTGTCGCCCCGCCTGGGGCCCGATGCCTGTCGCCCCGCCTGGGGGCCCGATGCCTGTCGCCCCGCCTGGGGGCCCGATGCCTGTCGCCCCGCCTGGGGGCCCGATGCCGGTCGCCCCGCCGGGGGGGCTCGATTGCCTGTCGCCCGCCGGGGGGCCCGATGCCTGTCGCCCGCCTGGGGGCACCGGCGCCCGCCGCTCCGCCTGGTGGCCCCGAGATGCCCCCGCTCCGCCTGTGGGGCCCGCCGATGCCTGTCGCTTGTAGCTCCGCCTGGGGGCTTGATGCCTGTTTGCCCACCCGGGGGCCCAGTGCCTGCTGCTCTGCCCGGGGGCCCGGTGCCTGCTGCTCCAACCTGCCCGGGGGCCCGCTGCCTGCCTGCTGCTGCTCCGCCTGGGGGCCCGGTGCCTGCTGCTCCGCCTGGTGGCCCGCTGCCTGCTGCTTTGCCTGGTAATCCGATGTGCCTCTGCCCGGTGTCTGCCCTGAGTCCTGCCCGATGTGCCTCTGCCCCGGAGTCCAGCCCGATGTGCCTCTGCCCGGAGTCCAGCCCGATGTGCCTCTGCCCGGAGTCCAGCCCGGTATGCCGCTGCCCGGAGTCCTGCCGGGTGCCAGTCTTTGATATCCCGCCAGTTACCAGACCGGGCGGTGGGAACATTTTGCCCAGCTAGGACTGTTTGGAGCGTCCTGAGGCCGCTCCTTGAGGGGGGGGTACTGTCAGGAATGGACTGGCCAGCAATGGTGGGACTCACCTGCCTTTTGATCTGCAGTACCAGGGCTGGCCAGCGGGTGCTCCCAGCAATCAGAGACTCAACCTTTCAGCCAGCTAACACCTGGAACTGATGATACTGGTGTATTTAAGGGATGGCCAGACTTGCAGACTCTGCCTTGGGTGTTGTGTTTGTCCTGGGGCCCTGTATCTGTCCTGCATCCTGTTTCTGTTCCTTTGCTGACCCTGCCTGATCTGAACCGCTGCTGACTTCTCCTGCTCTGATCCCGGCTCACTCCTGACCATCCCTCTGCCTGACCCTCTGTACCACGCTGCTTGCTACCTGTTCTGATCCCTGGCTTGTGACCCTGACCATCCCTCTGCCTGACCCTCTGTACTACGCTGCTAGCTACCTGCTGAACCTGGCCTGTGACCCCGACCCATCTCCGCTTGCTCCCCCTGTACCTACCTGCCCTATTGATATTGACCCGGCCTGCCTGACGACGCTTGCTTGTATGTACTGTTATCTGTGGGTGGTTGGTTTGGTTCGTTTGCACTGTATTATGTTTTAGTATTGCACTGCGTTTATGTTTGTATTGTTAGTGTTAATAAATTATATTGTTTATCACATATCTGAAGTCTGCGTTTCCCTGCATCAGTCACACACCTCTGGTCACACCTGGGAGCCCTGACACTAAGTACCATGTTCATCATGCAGTGATCTCAGCACCATTCTTCTGAACTGGGTAGGCAAAAAAAGTTGCCATTGATCATTAATTCGTTCCGAGGGGCCCCTTTGGTAGACCACCCCATTCCTCAGTTCTAATCTCTCCCACTCTCTATAGATGACTTTGGCATCTGGGGGATCTTCCATCCTAAGTAGATCGGGTCGCTGCTCCATAAGGGCCCTTCTTGTCTGTTGGCAGAGTGGGTCTTGATCCTGGGCCTCTTGCATATCTTTAGTGGTGAGCTGTGCTAACTCCTCACTCTTCAGCTATGACAGTAGGGGCTCCTGGACTCCCAGATGATCTCAGACCTCTTCAACTCTGCCAAAAGTTCCTGGAGGTCCTCTAGGTCTCCCAGGGGGGGCTGTCTGGCCTGCTTTAAGCTGAATTCGATAAGGAGCACTCTTGGTGCACCCAACATCGTAGTCGTTTTTAGAGAAGACTCTCTCCCAACTGGTCAGTCAATCTCTTGCCCTTCGTTTCCATTCCTCTGACAGAGGGGAGTCTTGAAGGCCTCACCCTCCCCTGACAGGGTTATTTGATAATTCAGGTGCACTGACTGGTAAGGCCACATTCACTTGCCCCAGCAGGGCCCTGGGTTTTAGGGTTATGGGGTCTGATGTGTTGTTGAAAACCTGAACCAGAACAGTATCCCTGCTCCACTGCAGAGCCTTTGTGGTGATCACCTCTGGAAGGATCTCTACACCAGCCATCTCTCCTTTGTTCTCAGTCTCCAGCACTACAAAGGGTCCCAGCTGGTCCCAGCTCAACTTAACTCGAGCTTTCAAATAGGTGACTGCCCCTGGCTAGAGCACTTTCTCTTCAGGCCCATTCTTCCAGACCTTCCCCACTCCTCCTCCGGAGACCGCAACTCTCTGACCGCCCTTTGATAAACGTGGCGCAGCTGCGGGTGGATGCTCTCTATGAATACAGTGTTCTGCTTGGCTAATGGAGTGAGTAGCCTGCGTACTATGTTGGTATTGGTCCCGATAAGTAAGGAGCACTGCTTTATCCCCGAGGGCCTGGAACAGGCTATTGCCATTGTATCAAATGTTTCTATTCTCCTGGAGAAAGCTGGGATGAAAACCAGGCAGATGGGTATTTAGCCATCATAAGGACATTTATGGATCCTAATTCCCAAAATCTCTAGCTTTTCTAGCTTCCGAAGGAGTATGTCCCTAAAGTATTTATTGTAGTCCCTATAGAGTGGGTCACTTTAGCTCCAGTATCCAGCAAAGCTTTGGTATAGACTCCCTCCACTTGAATGTGGGCCACTGGGGATGGATCTACTAGCTTGTCTGGAAGTCCCTCGGGTTGAGACTTTGCATTTCTGATCAGGGCATTCCCTGGTTGAATGGCTCTCTTCTTAGAGGTTGAGTTTCTTAGCTTCCCTAAATTTTTGTGGTGTGTATCAATTCCATGTTGGAGTACCAGTTAACGGAGTTGGAAGCTGAATTGGCTCTAAATGACAACTAATGTCATATTTTTGAGTGGTTTTAGTCTCTAGGGTCTGGGTTCCTGAGAATTGGAGCTCACAATTTTCTTCAGATCCTCAGATGGTTCCTCCACTGTGGTCCCCGGAATTTTTCCGCCATCTTTGGGAAGAATAATTTCTTTAATGCTTATACTACTTCAGCCGTAAGGTCAGCCATTGGCTCAGTCTGGGGGCATTGGGCCTGAAAGTGTCCTGGTTCCCCACACTGGAAACAAGGTCAGAGGGACCCAGGGTTGGATCCCCCACTGACTGGCTGCCATTGCCAACAATGTTTGTCCTATTTCTGATATGGCCTTCTTCTGCATGGCAACCTAAGCCTCCATGACTTGTCCCACAGTCTTCTGAACCTCACAGAAGGACTGGGCCTGGGCCAAATGGGATAGAGTCTGTACTATGCCATCCATTGCAGCTATGGGCTGTGCTTCAGGTACCCCCTCCATGGTCAGAATAGCTTAAATGACACAAGAGAAGGCCCTCGGCCGGGTTCCACCCTGAACTGCCTTCCTGACCTTGGCTGCCATTAGGGCTTCCTCTTCTAAGATGGTCTATAACAGCTTTGAATATATAACAGCACCATAATGGTAGCTGACCCTGAGATACTGTACAATTGGATTGAGTGGTTGAGCCCTGTCTGTACTTGGGTCCAGAGGACCCAGCTAGCACTCTCCTCCTTCAGCACTCCTTGGATGACTACTTGGTGCAGGATCTTGTCCAACCTTTGTACATAGTCAAACAATATCTCTCCTTCTTGTTGATACGTGTGCTCAAATAGATACTGTGATTTCCTGACAACCTATCACATTTTTGAAGGCCCTTCATATTTCTAACACATAGCATGTACAAACAAAGAATTACACCCCAAAATACATTATGATGAGCAAAGGGTAAACAAAAGATTACCTGTGGTTTTAGTAGTGCAGTTGTCCACAGAGGAAAGCACTGGTCCAGGCAGCAGGCAGGGATGTAGTCAGCGACAGCAAAAGGAATCACTCAGGCAGTAGGCAGGAATACTGTCCTTAGTCAGTACAGCCAGGTAGAGATATTGATAAAACAGCCAAAGCATTGGTCCAGGCAACAGGCATAGATGTTGTCAGCAACAGCCAAAGAAATTATCCAGACAGAAGGAAGAGACATAGTCAGCACAGCCAAAGTATTGGTCCTGGCAGAAGGTAGGAACATGGTTCATAGTCAGTACAGGTAGCAGGCAGAGGTGTGGTCAGTTCAGGGGGCAGGCAGAGGCATGAACGGGCCAGGATAAGTCGGCAGCAGCAGGCAGAAATATCAGGATAAGAGCCTTGGTCAGGAAAGACCTGGGCACAGGGGTAGAGACTTCTTCCCACCCAATTCTCTTTGA